ATATATATATATATATACATATACATATATATATATGTATATGTATATATGTATATGTTTATATGTATATTATATATATATATATGTATATATATATATATATGTGTGTGTGTGTGTGTATTTGCTTTTCACTTAATTATTTATCCATGTATACCTACATTTATTTATCTAGTTTGTTTGTTTGATTGATTAGTTATTTAGTATTTGTATGCTTGTTCCTTTATTTGCGCATGTATCTATCAATCTATCTATCTATTTATCTATTTTCCCTCTGTTCTTTCGCCAGGGCTATGGGCACAGGAGTAGCCCCCTCTCTGAAGGCCGCTGGTCGGAAGACACGCAATGCACCTGCTAGGCCCGCTAGGCCCTCCAGCTGAGGTGAGGGAGCTTCTACTCTGGAAACTGTAGACAGTCGGGCTGGCTGGCATCCGCTTTGAAACCGACACAAGCGGTCGAGAGGTCTTAGCTCTTTTTTAAAATGCTCCTGCTGCTAAGTAGCAGCAGCCTTTTGCCCCAACGTGTGTTGACCCATCGGGGATGCGAAAATCAAAGGCCAGCAGACTACTCTTTGTGTCTCAGATGAATGATGTCATGCCACTCTCGCTGGTGCGTACACCCAAGTCTGCCCTGAGACTCAAGCAAGACGCTCAAACACAAGAGTCTACCAACGGAAGGCGCATGCTCATTATGCGATGGTGAAACCGACACGCGAACCGTGTCCTCAGGCGCTCGCACAACATCTCGCATATCTCGCGACTCCTCTCTTTCGGAAACCAGCTGCATCTCTTCCCAAGTCCCAGACTCCTAAACACCTTTAGCACGGAATATACCTCAAATCAGTTTACGGATTTCCCTATAATCTAAGATATAATCCTTCGTTGAGACGTTTTGGAGTCTGTGGGTAAGCATTGCTAGGCCGAGGACACGGCAGCACTCGAAGCAATCTTGCTTCGACGCAGCAGCCCCCTGTCCCCTGGTTTTGCACCGAAGGGGAGCAAGTTGAAGATCGTCGGTGGCGTCGGCGCCGAGGCTGGATGCGTTGCTGGCTACTTCTCAGCGCTGATAGATCCCCTGTCGAGTCAAGCCCATCCAGCCCTCGCGACAAGCTTGCCAACGTAGTGCGCGCGTGCATCATGCATGGGTAAACACAAATAAACACGGCGGAGACCGTCGCGCTCCACCGATCCTTCCGCATTCGTTAGCTTTGGGTGTGGGCTTCGGATTTCGGCAGGTGCGACAGCATGGAAAGACCACTTGCCTTACAAGAACCCCCTGGCAAAGCCGCTGCAGCGTGCAATGTGTCCTTCCAGTGTGATCTCGCAGCCTGAACAGTGTCTTCACATGCTGGACCTTTGTAACATGTGCCTTAGATAACAATATCTGTCTATTACATCTCTGTGTTCTGAGTCGCGGGATATCTCTCTGAAGGCCGCTGGTCGGAAGATACGCAATGCACCTGCTAGGCCCTCCAGCTGAGGTGAGGGAGCTTCTACTCTGGAAACTGTAGACAGTCGGGCTGGCTGGCATCCGCTTTGAAACCGAATATCGTACCTGAATCCATGAACACGAGTGAAGCCCACACAAGCGGTCGAGAGGTCTTAGCTCTTTTTGAAAATGCTCCTGCTGCTAGTTAGCAGCAGCCTTTTGCCCCAACGTGTGTTGACCCATCGGGGATGCGAAAATCAAAGGCCAGCAGACTACTCCTTGAGTCTCAGATGAATGATGTTATAAAACACAAGAGTCTGCCACCGGAAGGCGCATGTGCCTCATGCGCAATGTGCAGGAAAAACCATCATTGAAACGGATTCGCGAATCTGAGCCCATGTCAGAAAGCAATCTCAACATACCCCTCGGAGTCTTGACTTTGCTCCCCGAGGGACCTACTCCCTGGGAGAGAATTCCGTCGACTGGCAATGATGTGCTCCAAGGCAATGGGGTGATGCTCCACATCCCAGAGGAAGCCTGACATCACAGGAGGGACAAGAAAGTGTATAGGACTTGGAGAACCAAACTGACTAATTTTCCCATTTTTTGCTGAGAAACCCTCGAGCTTTGCCACATATTTCTCATGTAAACTCCGTGTCGGAGATTGGCGGACCACTACTCCGTAAGGAACCGCAATGGGCGTTTTCTCGAAATTCCAGGATGAAATCCCTTCCGTTTCCATGAGAGGTGTAGAAGTGCCAGGGCTTCTGCGCTCAGATGCTTCTGTGCTCGCTGTGGTGCTCATGTCATCCTCGGCCACAGCCTTGGGCTTCGAGGGCGGAGTCTCCGACTCCGTTGCCGTCGAGCTGCTGCAGCCCATGCTGGCCAGGAAAGCTCCCCAAAAAGAGCGAGTTCTTGGGACCCCCTGTCGAGCTGAGCCGAAAGAGCCACGAGTTGCAAGAGCCTTCATGCTGGGACATGCAGCAGGGAACCTTTAACACGGAAAGCTAGCTGACCCATGGACCATCAGAAGGTCAAAGGCTTCCAAACCTACTACGCCTCCAACCCCGAGGTCTCTCGTGCCGAACCATGAGCAGATACCAACAGGCCTGCACGGAAGCAGATGCGAGCATTTAATGCGCGGACACAGGCCAATGTGAAGTTTCTTCTGTCCCGGCACTCCAGCAGTCGCAACACTTGCCCCCCCTGCGCTGCAGGGGTGAAGTGCGCTGCATCACATTGTCAACACACGGTGTCGCTATGCAAGGCATCAACCTCGCTGCCGGGCTCCGCGCGAGGATGATGGCACTGCCACGGCCAACGAGCACACTCTCTGTTCCCACATCCTGGCTGATGCAAGATCGGAGTCTGTTGGTGTGAAGTGTGATGCAGATGTCCGCCCAAGGTAGACTTCAAGTGGTAGGGTCCAGGCATCTCACGCAGGGGCCCGCATGAGTGAGGAGTCGCCACAGATCAACCGAGCCGACAGACAAGCCTCGCGAGCGACCTCGAACAGCACTCCCTCTGAATCAAGGCGAGCAGCGCAACACACCCGCAGCACACGGCTGCAAACTTGGGGGCGGCATGGTCACCCGCACCAAAGACGGCAACAAGAACTTGCAAGATGAAGTGAGTTACCTACAATGTAGCATGAAAGCCGACCTTTGGGAGCGGGAGGAGGATTCGAGGGAGAGCATAAGCAGGCTCGGTCAAGAGACAGATGACAACAAATTTCTCCGGGGAATCCACTCATGCTAGGTCCCTAGGTCCCAAAGTGCCGCAAGTCCTTCTGCACAAAGGACAGGAACTTCCGGACGTGGCGCAGCGCAGGCACCTTAATCAAAAGTCGCAAAACGAGGGGACACTTCGACTTCGGCTCTAGGAGGAGTCTGAGGATTGCTTTTTGTTGCTTCAAAGAGCTCGGGCTCTGAGAGGCCGCCTGCTGGGGTGCACTTAGAAAAGAGACCTGTTTGTTCCGCCAAGGGCATATGCGGTGGCCCGAGGAAAGCTTGCTTGGCTTGAGTTGCATCGGCTTGGGGTGCACCTGTGCCAGAAGAGCAGCACGAACAGGAGTTTGCACGTGTTCTCGGTCAGCAATGCAGCTACAAAGCAATGATGCTCGGCTTGGCACGCCTCAGGGACTGTAAGCGAGAAATTCCATGGCCTTTTTCGACTGAATTCTGAACCCTGAACGCCAAACCTGTTCAGAGCCGGGCCGACGTCGCCTGCCGCGCATCCGTCCGAATGAAGAGCACCTATGCCCGTAACAGAAATATCTTGGATCCAAGGTGTGGGTCGGGGAATTTATTTAATGACTGAACATCGTAACGACAGTAAGTACTCAATAAAATACACGCCTAATGTAACATGCCCTCGAGCATAAGATCCTACATGGGCCGTCCATGTACAGAGTGCCACAATTGAGATTAATATGACATCATCTTTTCGGCCGCTGAAGCTCGTAAGAACGCTGTAGTCAGAACAGCACGGAGATGCGCCGCGCAAAACTATGAAGCCCTTTCGCGACAAGCTACTTAATTACAGTCAGCAACAGCACCAGCAGCAGCAGTGGTAGCGCGCAGCGGGTGGTCGGTAGCGGGTAGCGGGCAGGCAGCCGGCAGACGACGACGACCACCACCACCACCACCACCACAACCACAACCACAAGAACAACAGCAACAAAACGCAACCACAATTCCAGCTGCTGGCGCTGCTACTTCCGTAAGTCTTTCTACTTCTGGCCATCCCCACAATGTGTTCGATTCGGACCGCTTGATGTCAGAGGCCCCGAAAAATGCTTCGAGGGCCAAGCCATCTCGGGCCGCTTGGCCAGGTTCAACATGATGCGCCTCTAGGGACCACAACCCAAAAAGATTTTGGACTTTCAAGTGCTTCAGAGCATGAGCCTGGGCATAAATCGGGGCACATCCTCTCTTCGGGGCAGATGAAGAAGGGTCCAAGTCCGACAGCAACAGCCCCCAGCTCCATGTCGCACGGACTATTCTTAAGAAGCCGGAGCCTGCACCGCAATGCTGCTTGCGGCATCATGCCCAAATTGCAAGAGAAGACTCTTGATTAATAGTCTTATCCCTTCAAGACAGAAGCAAGTTGAGAAGACTATGCAACTTCACCCGCAAAACCTCTGGCAGCCGCACCTCATTTCTTGTAAAGCCCTGTCCTGAGCAAACCCGTGGGGCTTGGATTTCAGGGTTTGCAGTCGTGGGCCTGGATGTACCAATTACGCCTCCCGCTGCACTTTCTGTTGCTGCTGGGCTTGCTCTTTCCCTGACATTCCCGACAGACAAACCGAAAATCGGGGGAACCTTTGCTGCTTTCTGGCCGGCCACGAACGCCCTTTTTGCTCATGACGAAGCTCTTCGATCAGGACTCAGATGCCTCATTTTATATTACTGTTGCTTTCAACCACATGCTTATCATGCTTCTGATTTGGCGGCTTTCAGTGTCAGACCTGTTCTTGTCGTCAGCATCATCACGGCTACTGGCTACCTTTACTTTGGATACCTCCGCTATCGGCAGGGTTGCTGCTAGCATCAGTGTTGTAAATACAACTTCAAGAGGCTGCTTCCTCCAGGGTCAGATACAAGTTCACAGTTTTTAGATTCATACCGGAATGACAGTCGACAATGCATCAAATCTCGAGGCTGCACTTACTCCTAATTCCCAATGCATATTGTAGCAGTACTTGTTCCCTAAAAAGCGTATGAACAGTGGCCCGAAAAAAAGAGCAATAGGCGTAGCAACCGGCGCGGCCGTAGCAGCAGCAATGGCTCGCTGACGGTGCTGGTAATAAGGGCCATGCAATGTATCAAAGGCTTGCAACCTTAACATGTTGATATGGGCAATGACTAAGATCAAAATGGCGGATGAACGATCCGAGATGTCCAAGGCGGAATAACACGTCCGTTCACGCACAGAAAGCATCAACAAGCCGGAGCTCAAGCGTTCTACTTAAGCAGGGTTTAAGGTCTGGGGTTTTGCATGGGCTTTACAAAATTTTCGCTCCGCGAACCGACAACGAGCCAGAAGCCAGGAAAGGCTTTACAAGTGCGTCCCGGGGTCGAGGGACTCGTCATCCATGGCAGTCTCGCAGATCACCAGCTCTAGGTAGGCCACTGCTCCCTGGCCCCGAGAATCTAAGGCGAACAACAAAAACCCAAAGAGGCCAATGCAATCGGAACCAGGTTTCGTGGAGTTGAACATGACCTACGTCGACAGCACCAAAAAGCAGCGGAAACCGTGTGCTTCTGGTGTTTGTGAGATCGGCCAGACGGCCGGAGCCTCCTCCCGGTAGGCCATCTCAACGAAGGGGACCTCCGAGGTTTCAGGGCTTTCAGGCAGGTGGAGTTCCATGGGGAAGCGCTGCACAGCGATGCTCAGCAGAACTTCCGCGATCTGCTTACGGATCTCTACGCGTCCCACAAATCCCCCCTGCCTTCACCGTGAAGGGCGACTGGATTGCATCATATCTGGGCATCACGTCCGTCAGGTGGAAAGGACAGTCCCAAACATTCCACCTTGGCCGGGCTTGTGTTGGCTTGGAAAGCTGGGACTAGGAAAACTGCCCTGTGCCGCCTCCGCCCATGGTCGATTTGCCTGGAAGCTGCACTGCCTCACACCGAGGACACTGCATGCCCCGTGGGGGCGAGGGACCGCCTTGAAACGGAGGGCCGTTGCCAGCATACTGCCAGGGACGGAAAGCTGGGACGAAGATGCAACCTTACGGTCACTGCAAGGGTTACTGCCAGGGCGTATATCTGTACATATATATATATATACACACACATATATATATACATATAAATACATATACATACCTATGCCCCGGTAGAGCAGGGAGAGCCAGATTCCGAGATACCAGAAATGTCTCCAAAGGTCTGCCCTCCCGGCTCTTCTCAAAGCCCGTGGTCCTTCGGAGTGCCGAAGACGTTCCCGGCCCCTTTCGACTGGTTCTCCAGGACCCAACCTCGACCCGAGGCGTGACAAGGGCGCCCCACGGTGTTTGAGTGCAGTGCAGTGCAGTGCTGGGTCTAATAGCTCTACGCGGGGTACTATAAACCACAGGGGTGCTATACTTGTTCATGGGCTCTGATCACATCTGTTGTAAGGATCCAACTGAAACTGCAAGCGGCACGGAAAGGCGCTTGACCGAACCCCTCCAGGGCTCCCTGCGGGTTCCATTGGTGGCGTCAGTTGCCTCGCGCGGATCTCAAGAAGCCGCCCAAAGCACACTTTCAGGGAAAGGGTGCTTCAGGAGGCCTCCATAAAAAAAAAAACATGTTGATCACAGCCAGTCTTAAACTTAGCTGCAAGGAATCCATCTTACCTTACCAGTAAGAGGCTCTTCCAGTGCTCAATAAAGACGTCCAAAAAACTCTGAGGCCTCGCTTCTGTCATAGGCCATCATTTTGTGGGCGTGCCGGAAACCCCCAAAAAAACCGCCCAGGAACGCTCTCTGAGCCCCCCGACCTGATGAATAACGAATTTGTCCTCCACGGCTCTTTGCTAGAGGACAAAGAGAACTCGCTTCAAAGCGTACTTGTCTTGTTTATAGGGGCATAAGGGGGCCCTAGGGGCAAAACTCAGGGATTCGTCTTGTGAGGATCGCACCATGTCGGCCTCCCTCCTTCAATGGAAGGTTCATGGGCACGGGAAAGTGTTGATGTTTTGCTGCCTGCCTGGCTAGGCCCGCAATGCAGGGGTATCACACACCTGCACTGAAAGGCGAGTGTCGGCCAGTCCCAGCAATGCAAAGCAAAATGCATCCAGATACAGCTTCTTGTCGCTGCCAGAGTCGGTATTATACTGTAACTCTTGCTATCATAAGGAACCCCAAAGTAGCATAGATAAATATTATAAGGCCTCTATATTACTCGTGAGAGTGCTCCATGCCCCAGACCGAAGCTCGGCCTAGTCGATGCAAAAAAGGGGCAAACAGGGAGACGGCTCTTTTTCGGGCAGCTCAGAAGGGGCACATCTTGTCGAGGTCGCCCCATAGGCTGTGTGCAGGCCTGCAGCTCCAGTTGGGACTGAGGACAGCCCAATCATGGCCGAGCTTCCAACCCAAAAGGTCTCCAGGAAAGACACAGCCAACCCAAATCAATGAAAGATACCCGCACCGACACACCACCAGAACATGTAGACCTTATGAAGAGAATGTTGCAGCCTGTAATGCCCGCGAGGGAGGCCCTGGGGAAGCAAACCAGCGAGACGAAAGCCTCCGAACAGACGGGGTTTGGTACAGGATCTAGAAGGCTACTATGAAGGTTCCCATGAGGTTACTACATGTTACTTTGGGGAGTTCCTGTGAGGGTTTTTTTGCTCCGAACTCCAAGCACTGCTGTTCGGGTCCGCAGGCATTTACATCGAACCATCCATGTGACGTTGTTTAGGGTTTCGACTCGCAGAGCTGGGACGATTCGGGAGAGGAGTCTGAGCATGAGCGATGAGGGCTTCGGCACTCCATATCACAGACTCACAGACCCCAACAGCAAGTCGTCTGCGATATGTGCATGTGGGGACTGGGATCAGCACCAAGGACAGGACACGAGCGTGTCAATGATCCCTTATCTTGCCGCCTAGCCCCCGAAACGAGAACAAAGCACGGGAGGCTTAGTGCAAATACGAAGGACTGTAACTTGTGTTTGCTCTCTGCCTGGTGGCTGCGACTGATGTCCTCTCGACCAGAAAGCTGCTGCCTGACTCTTACTGAAACTGCAAACCGGAGGTGCAACTGCACCATGAAGCCTTCGAATTAGAAAAGTACTTGGGCAAGTCCGTGGGACTTCCCTCGGGAGCTATGCCATGGACTCTGTCGGAGCGAACTTTCAGGCTCCGGAGCCTTCCTCTGCGAGAGGACCTGCTGCTGGTTTTGGTGCCGTTTCTGCCACTCAGCTGCTCCTACTTCGCATGTTAGGAGTCAGGAGCGGGTTGAGTTTGGCCGGTGGCCCCGCCAGGAGACGCAAGGTGGGGGAAAAAATCCTGATCTGCGCAGCCCCCGCTGCATTTGCCCCTGGAGGCTCAGACCACGAGGGCGCTCGGCCCAGGCATCGGATTGACGATGTTGTCCTCGAAGAAGCCAAGAGAACGCTGGTTGTCCGCATAGTTCCAACATGTACCTCCACTCAGCGAGCACCTTCGGGAGGAAGCTCGTGAGCGGAAACTTCTTGGCTAAGGATTCGGAGTAGAGGTCACCGAAGGGGATTTGATGTACTTCGTCTTCGATCCATCCGGGTACGGATAGCCGTAGGCATCCCAGAGGCCTACCCAAGCCAGCCACGGGCCCAGTGGTATAGAGCCTCGGCATTCACCTGGCTGATATTGGGATGGTAGTGCTTGCACGCTGCTGCAGTCGTACTCAGAGTTCGACTTCAGCGACCACTCCCCACTGAGGTCACCTTCCACGGTCTTTCTTGTCAGCAGAGCTGTGAAGCCCTCAAAGGTCATCACCCGCTCAGTGGCGTTGAGGGTCGCGTTCTTGACCAGCGTAGGCTCAATCCAGTCCTTCATTGTACCTTTTCTCGCGTGTTGGGTCCTCCGCATCGTGCCTCGGATCTCGAATGGTTGTGGAGTAGCCGTGCTGCACATGCTGTGGGTTCGCATTGCAGGGACACTTGCCTGGCATGGCAGCATGCCCCGCTGCATCGATGCACTTGTCAGGGACGTTCATCGTCATGATGTTCAGCCATAGCGTCGACAAATCTTTCTCCAACCCAAAGTCATCGATGACGCCACTGGGGATCAGCCCACAGTCCCAGTGTCGCTTGCTCTGGTGGAGGTCGTCCCCCTTGAAGCGCACCGTGGCAAAGGAGGGAAAGATTCCCTTCCGGACAGTAGATCCAGCCGCCAGCATGGCCCTCCCTCATATGCTGGGAGGTGATGCGGCCATACTGATCCGGCTTCAAGATACCTTCTTGGTAGAGGCCTGCCAGGAAAGGGCATGGGATGCACCTTGCGTTCTCCTCCCTCTCTGCCTCCGGCACCGGCTCGCCGCCGCCCTTGCCATCGGGGCGCGCCGCCAAGTCGCCTGCGGCCGGGTGTTGCGAGAGGCCCTCCACGGCTTGAGCTGCAGCCACGGGTTGAAAGCTTTTGGATTCAGTTGGATTTCTTCGGTGAGTTTCGTTACAATTCTCGATTCGTGCGCGTCATCCTTGCGAGGTGCCATGCTAATCTTCTCTGTATCGTTCCAATTTTATCGGAAGTCATACTCCATGTGATCCTGTCTTACATCCAGCAACGGTCTGAGCTCCTTACTCTTGGTGTCGCTTCGTGCAAGAGCACATAATGTCACGGCTCCCTTCTTTTTTTCTTCGCCCCGTCCTGTTCGTTGGGGGGGAAATTCAGAAGCTGGTACCGGAGGCCCAGCTGCATGGGAGGTCCGGCTGGCTGTTTACTTCCGACCCCTAAGAACCATCAAAACTCCACTTCAGGCTCGAAGTGAAGATTCGACATGAATTGATCGGCAGATACCGGCACGGCACCCCTGAGCACCCCCTGAGCAAGAGCTCATGCTGAGCTTCAGATGCCAGCCAGACATCCCGGGCACCTTCTGCCTTCTACACTCGCATCGAAGTGAAGCCATTCGCGATTGTTGAGATCGTGTTCAAAGCTCTGAACAGTTTCTCGTCACTACTCCAAAAACGAGCGATCTGCCTGTCGAATTGAGCTAAGATGTTCTACCACCTGTTGCCAAGCGCTCACAGCCAGCGCCGACCTCAGTCAGGCGGCAGCCAACACAACCGACCGCATCTCACAAGCTGCAAGCTGACAAGACTTAACTCGACGGCTGCAGAGGGGGGAAAGCCTGCACTGGCACTGGCCTTCACATTTAGGAATGCAACATCCGTGACCCACCACAGCTGGCCACGAGGGCAACTGCCCACGTCCCCATGAAACTCCGCGCTCTCTTCTTCTCGAAGGGAAGAGCAACGCACCCGAATCTTTCATACTTGACTCCGGCTCTCTCATGCTTGCATTTTTCCACATCTGGCACAACTGAGAGGCCAAGCTGATACGACGCCCCACGAACGGCGAATCTCACGCCATGGCGATCTCGAAACATGCGAACTCAGCTGGCTCCACGGCAATATCACGCGCAGGTGATGAGCCTTCCAACCGAGAAGCCTCATCCCGACGTGTCCATGGGAGCGGCGCCCTCTGCTGCCGGAGTGGGCTCCTCGGGCATGGGTTCGTCCTCTGCCTGAGGCCCAGTGGTGTTTTTGGTGGTCTTCCCTTGGGGCTTTAGGGCTTCAGGGTGGGGGCTTCAGGGTGGAGGGTTTAGGGTTGTTGGGAACATTGGTGGTACGATAGGCTCGGCCGCTGGACTGCTGGAGAAACACCCACTGGACTAGAATCGCAGCGTACACACTGCATGCAACACTCCGTTGCCCCGCCTTCTTCTCCAATCCGTCGATGAACTTCTGAAGATCGTCGCCCGAAATCTCCCGGTATTTGCCTGCTTCGCTCTGCCAGGCTGAGTGGGTTCTAGCTCTTCGGTCCAACTTGTGGCTGAGAGCTAGGTCGACTTGGTTCCCAAATGTTCCCCGAATCCTAGCAAAATGGACACCTCTCATAGGAAAAGCTTCCGGACCCGCGCTTCAGGCTTGAAGAGGCCGGGCATTGGTTAAGTCTCATCAGCGGCCTCCAGCTTCAATCACGGCGACTGCGGTGTTCTTGGTCGTCAAGGACTGATCCGACGAGGTCGTCTTGTTCATGGCCTGACGTCTTGGACTCTCGCAACGCGTCGGACGTGACAGGCTTGCACGAGCTTTCCCCAAAGGCTGCAGTGTTTCGAGGCTATTGAGCACACAGTCCAAGGCCCCCGAACCAAGAAAAGACAGCTATCCTTTCAGCTTGCATGTTCCGAGAATCTCGCTTGGCGGGGATCTTCGGGGGAGCCGGGCAGTTGTCCGCAGACGTACTGTTCCCGAGCTTGCAGCCTCCAGCCCGTGCTTGACCAACACATCTACATCTGCAGTCTCGAAGTCCGCGAAATGCTTCTCCTCGGGAAGCATCGAGGATCAAACTGCCACACTGCCGCAGGTCTTTCAGCCAGGAGGCTAGGTGCGTCTTCGCTGAGGTTGAGCGCCCACCGATAGCCATGGCATAGTACCTCGGCGAATCTCGCTTCGGCTCAAAGCAAAATCGGTAGCCTCAGCATGGCTGCGAATTGCTTCGCCGAAGGGCTCGAAGTAGTTTCCGCTGGGACAGGTCTCGAAGAGGTGTGGGCCCTTCTCGTCGCAACCAGCCACGAGGAGTCCGACCTAGACAAAAGGAATCCAAGGACTCCTGGGACCAGAAACAACGGAGCATCAAACAACGGAACACCACGACTGGGCAGCGGGCACCATAGGGCCGCTTGGAGGAGTTCTGGGTCTTCTGCTGGGACTTGTCGGCCACCTGCGCCACGAGCCTGCCCACGTTCATCGCCGAGTCGAAGACATAGCGGTGGTTCAAGCACTCGTTGCGCATGTAGTCGGCCAGAACGCGTGCGTCTGCAGTGAGGCCGGAGATGCCGATGGCCATGTTGTCATCGATCTTGAAGATCTTCTGCTGATGGGATGCCAGCTCTGACTGAGCTCTCTTGAAGGAGACCAGCACAACACATTCCTTGGAGCGCAAGCCGAGCACGGGCGTTCCCTGCTTCACAGCTTCCATGGCATACTCCACCTGAAGAATGCGCCCCGCAGGGCTCCAGGTGATGCAGTCCATGTCATACCTCAACACTCAAGGCGACCGATGGTCAGGGTCGGAACATGTCGGAACTAGCCAGAAATCCCTCCTCCCTGCGAATCAGGAGCTGATGATTGCGGTACATGGCGCCGACACCGGTACCAGGGACTGTCCGGTTTCCTGTTTTTGTCTTGAGCCGAACCCTGCGGCAGCCAACAACTTCGTACGACGCCCAACAAGAAGACATGTATCTACTGTATCTTTCTAAACACCTACATAGATAGACACATCTATAAATGTGCCTCTGAATCTTCGAAGAATCAGATCCGCTGGCAGATTAGCTCTCCCTGTGTAGCTGCCCGCCTTGCGCGTCGTGCTGCCGGAGTAGCTCCTGACGGGCGCTCCGGGTGACCATCCTGTTGAGACTTTCCTATGACCTATGACGACCTTCTTCAGCTGCTTGGTGTGTATCTGACCGTCTGTACAAACACCAGTGTCTACATTCATGCCACCCCGCCTGGAGCAAAAACAGAAACTCCCCGGCGGATTCTCGGGTGCAACAGTATCGCAACAGCTTCATGGGCAAGGCCGCTAAGCGGAAGTCCTGCGTGCAATAGGAGTACTCGTGTCGAAGTGCCGGGCTGCAGGGGCGGCCACCTTCTCAGAGCAGAAGCCGCTATGGTCGCTATAAGACTTGTAGCTGCTGCTTCTCGAGAAAGTGTTGGGATTTCTCCTGTGTACAATGCTGCAGGAGTTGTTAGGGCGTAGGGTTCTCTGTTCCGCCTTGGCATAATGTGTTGAAGGGGTGTCTGTTAGCGGTCTCTACGTGTTCCTTCGCCCGGCCCGCAGCCCGGGTGATCATGGGTTAGAAGGCTACCCTGGCCTCGGCAAAGCACCTGCAAGTTCCTGAACCACACCCGGCATCACTACCAGAAGCGTGCTGTGCACCTTGCCGAGTGCGCCACACTTGGAAAAGGTACTCATTCACAAGCCACGGATAAAAGCCTTAGTTCCGGAGCTGGACTCCGCAAGCCACGGCAGTCGGAGCTTGAAGAGAGCTAAGCCTCTGGCAGCTGGGGTCCTCGTAAAAGTAGTGGCAATCCTTGTCACACAGCAGTGTTAAACATAGAGTTGGTACTAGCACTAAATCTTAAACACAACAACAGAAGTGTAAGAATAGCAGTCAGCATGACACTATATGACAATAGCAATAGCAATAGCAATACTACCAGCTAGAACTCTCCAAAAGAGAGACTCCGGCCCGGCCAAGCTGCAGCCCGCTTCTCGCCCTGGCGGCCAGTGTAGGAGGCCGGGCAGCTGCCCAAAGCCTGGAGACTACGTGGACCTTTTGGGCCCCTTTTTTTTGCCTGGGATTTTCGGGTTTTTGGGATTGAAAGCCTAGGTCTCAGGGAGCCTAGGGTCGGGAATTTCGATCCGGGGCCCGTGTGGTTGGCTTGTGTAGGGGATCCCTGCGGGGAGGCCCTGGCGACCCTTCAGGAGATCGTGCGCAACCCTTGTTCCAAAATCACTTCCTGCATGCAACGTTCCAGAAGATCTCAACCCCAAGCCCTAAACCCTAAACCCCAAACCCCAAGCCCTAAACCCTTTTTCCCAAACCCCAAGCCCTAAACCCTAAACCCCAAACCCCAAGCCCTAGGCCTGATGAAACCCCGAAGCCGAGGCACCGCGTCGAGGGCTCGGGACAACTCCGAAGAGGCGCGGCCCTGGAATTCGGGGCCCGGGCCCTTGGGGGCCTGGGCGCTCCCTTTTTCTGAAACTCTTTTTCGGAGGGAGGATGGGAAGTGTAACAATCCCATGCTGCAGCTGCCTATGTGACCCCTCCCCTCATACCGAAAAAGGCCTGCTTCTCTCGTAGTCTTGATACTCTGCTTCTTGCTGGGAAGTAGCAGTCGGAGTGGCAGTCGAAGCAGGGGGAACGGCAGCTCCAGCACGAGCAGCAGCAGCCGGAGAGCAGGAGCCCCGGAGCAGTGGCAGCAGTGGAGGTAGCAGCAGTTGGAGTCGCAGTGGCCGTCGTCGTCGAAGTCATAGCAGTGGCAGTGGCAGCAGCAGCTTCCACTCGAACCAACCTCATGACTCTTCGCCCGATTTGCTCTGCTGCACTTGACCCAAGTCTTTGGGCTTAAAGTCTTAATAAAGCCCGAAGAGCCTCTCGCACCCCTTCGTCTGCGAAATCCGGCCTCAGCCTCTTCGTGCTCATGGAAGCCCCACCTCCGAACGCTGCGTGACGAAGCGTGAAGTCGTTTTGTGGGTGGGCCCTGTAGGGCCACGGGAGGCGAGCAACAAGAACTTTGACACTGGTATCGGCAGGACTTCCGCAGTTTGCAAGGCATTCCAGAACGCATGAGTGATCTATCTTAGAGCCCTTGATTGAGGGGCAATGCAGGCATGCCCCGGAATGCTTGAGGCTTCACTTCGAATCTTTTGACATGCGACTCGATCGGGAGCGGCAGATGCTTGCAGGCCTCTCTGGGAATGCACAGCCATATCCAACGTGGGTGATGAGGTGCAAGAGTTCCTCTGCACATCGCCGTCTTAGAAACATTGCTGGGCCGCTCTGCCCAGCTACGCCCATCTTTCTGAGCACCTTTACGTGTCACACCCCGTTTCTGTCGTGTCTGACTCTGCAAGCTGCAAGATCCTATGATGTCCTCCCAAGCTGCATCCTCGCCATCTGTTTGACCCGTCTCCGTCTGGAAAAGCTCGGAGAACACGAACACGTCCCGAACCTTGGCCGCAAGATCGAAGGCCCCTGCGAGTTGCAGGTGGCATTCGGAAGCTCTCGAAATTAGGGTCCCTTTTTAGCTCCCCAAAACAGTACAGCACCCTTATATAAAAAAAAGGGGCCTAAAAGGCACCCGCCTTTAGAGAACTGCCCACATGTTGCCATAAGGAAAAGCTGCATGTCATGCCATGCCGTACGAAGCTGCATCGTGTGCCTGAGACCTTTCATACTGAAGTGACTGAAAAGCCCCTCCGAAACCGTACTCTACCAGAATGAACTACAGTATACCATAAGATGCTTCAAGATGCTATAAGATGCTTTAAGATGCTACTATACAGCATAGCAACTCAGACTTTAACGAACTCTAGACTGCAGTCTCAGAGTCGGAACAGTTCCAGCGCGGGTTGTCGTTCTTGATCACGTTGCTCTCGAGGCCTTCGACGGCGCCAGCTCCGGCGAGGTACTCGTCTGCCAGGAAAGACAAGAGGGTGTTTAGGGATCTATCTTTGTAATGTTGTAGCAGTTCTAGAAGGGCTAGAAGGGGATATCAAATGAGAAACTTTACTGGTGTAGCTGTTGGGGAGATTACAGCATCGGTGCTAGAAGAGGCTGCTAGCACTAATCAACCAAATAGGTCGCACCAAGGGGGATCAGCAATCAGCCAGGGGGCCTTCGTCAGCAAGAATGAGAATCAGCGCCTGGTGCTCTTGCAACTGCCTCGTAACCTCCGGGACATCCGCGACACCATCCTGGTCCTGGGCAGGAAATGGGGGCAACGAAGCTAAAGCCGCGTCCGCTGTGCTACGATGCCATCGTCATGATCGCAATTTCAAATCCTACTGCTTCTTCTGACAAACCAGGTCTGGACATTTTGAACCCCATTCCAATCCCTACTGCTTGTTCTGAGAAAAAAAAGGCCTGGTCATTTTGAACCTCAACGGGCCGACTCTTGACTTGCAGAGGCCTTGAATGAGCCCGGCTACCTGCGCACCCTGGGAGGGCAAAGGTGCAGCCGCTCCGATCCATGCAAGGGACCCTGTGTGACTCCACACACTTATGAACATGAACAACCCACATGAATTCCTGCAGTGGCCCCGCAGTAAAGGAGCAGTAGCCCCAAAGTACTCATGCAACCCCAAACCGTCCCGCCGTACCTGGTCCAAGAACTCCGCCAGGACCGACGCCGCATGGCGAAGGGTCTCCGGAGCCACGCCCGGAGAGGCAGCCACCAGGACGCCGAAGACCTGGATGGGTTTTATCGGGCCTTGAGAAGCCTCGGATACGCTGGAAGAATGAAAGGAGCTGGGATCGGGGACTTCGCGTCCACTGTGTACCCACATTTTTCAGGCATCAGCTGCAAAGAAGAAGGCACTGCGTGTACATCGCGGAATGTCGGTACATTTCTGCGCAAAATCTCATGTCAGTTCAGAAATGGAATTGCTGTCCTAGGATTTTGGTTGACTCACTCATCTTCGCTTTCAGTTCAACTCCTGGCACTTGGTATTGCTAGCTGCGCCCATCCTCGGAATCCTGGCGTCATATTCGACTAGACTTTGCTAAACAACTTTACGGCCTGCAGCGTCGGAGGGTGCGTCTCAGCGAAGCACAAACATCTTCCTCGAACACGAGTCTACACAAAGCTAGGTCCTGCAAACTGGAGTGCGGAGCTCGGATGTAGGGGCTGGGAGCTAAAGTCCGAAGGCGAAGGACCCTAGGACGATTCTTCATCGCCTCACTGCTAAGCAAACGCGTGTGCTCGGAACTGCCATGAAGAAGATCTCTGGTCTGGCCTGAAGCGAACGGTCCGCCCAGGGCAGAAGGCCCGGCGGTGCTGCGGCCACAGGCGGAAGGCCCGACGCGCAACGGCGGAGGAGGAGCAGAGCCGCGGAGAAGAGGAAGCTGGCGAAGGGCGGCAAAGGTCTGGAAGGAAGTCAAAGGACGCCAACGACAAGTAGCAACTTTGTGAGTCTCCCTTCCAATGACAGGTAGCTGTTTTCCAGGACAGCAAACGAACCCGCACAGCCGGTCATGAAGCCACGTGAAACCCACTGTCCCCCAACTCTCTCCCCGGCCCGGGGCGTGCCAACCCGTGCAGCAGCCACGCACGGGTCGTGCGGAGCACGCCGCAGGCGCCTCCATGGCTTTCGCATCGCGGCTGCCTATCTGAGGACCTCCCGGTCACCACTGATCTACTGTGCACAGGCTCTGTAAAACATAGGCAGCCTAGTGCCACCTGCGAGAGTGCTGTGTGGTCTGGCAGGCTGTGCAGAAAAGCATCGTCCAAGCTTTAGGATGCTACAACTGAGGGTAGCAAAGATACCTACAGCCTCTTGCTTGCCCTTGTGGCTGCGGCTGGCATGTGCATATTCTTATATGTTGGTGTACGCACATACGCACACATAAAGATATGTGCGCGTGCATGTATGTATACACCCGCACGCAAACACATATATGTATATATGTACATACATACATACATACATACATACATACATTTTCGCATACATACATACATACATACATACATACATACCTGTGTGTACATATGCAACAGATAGGTAGGCAGGCAGGCAGGCAGGCAGGCAGGCAGGGAGGCATGCATGCATGCCTCCATGGACGGACGGACTGATGGATGGAGGGATGGATGGATGGAAGCGTGTCAGCGCGCATGCATGCATGCATGCATGCATGCATGTACGTATGTATGTATGTCTGTGTGTCTGTGTGTCCTGTGAAAATAACACGTCTTATCCCTCCCCTCGACTTTGCCACTTTGGTGGCTCAAGACACTTTGCCCTCGCAGAGAAAGGCGCATCTGAACTTCAGAGCTACTTTGGTGTCTCAGCTGAGTGAGCTTGTGCACGAATTACTTTAGGGTAG